CGGAAGAGCATAAAACATCATTACTTAATTCTCAAGTTTTGCTTACAGACTGACCTATGGCTTAGCAATATGCATGCATAACGTCCAAATACTAATCAGACAAGCAAGTAGAAAATATTATTACAAAACACGTAGGCTAGACATTCATGGAAAACGTGACAAGTGATAATTATATATGATTCAAGGAGTAGCTAGCCAGTTTGCCCATAACCTAGCTAGCTCTAATTACAAGGCAATAAACTAGATTGGTACTAAACAATTATTATATAGTTCCAATTTATCTTCATCATCTGGGATCTCGTTTGATCTGCGTGCAGGATCAAAAAACAGTATGGTGTATTGTTTCATAAGTTCTAAAGTACTTCAGAAGCTTCTCGTCCTTGACGGCTTATCCTCATTGTCACCGTCTTCCTCTGGAAGCTTGACGGCGGTGTAAGCTGCCGCCCCGCAAAGTGCTCCGAGGATCGGAGCAGTGAGATATATCCATATCGCTTTAAAGTTGTTTGCAGCCACAGCTGGCCCTAGAGTCCTCACAGGGTTCATTGAAGCTCCCGTTCTTTCTTCATTTGCAATTAAACTTAAACCAATCCATGCATATTATGTTTGTCATATCGATCGATCGTTGAGTATATATGTGTATGCATGCATATGCTATGAATTTTGTATATATATATGTGTCTGTGTGTGTGTATGTATATACTAAATTATTCAGAAAGCCAGATGATCAGAAGGAGCAGATTGTGATCAAAGGAATGTTGAAGTTCCGATCAACAAACCCTGCAACAAAATTGTTGAGCATCACAGTTGCTCCAACAACGATTCCCGCCAACTCTCCAACCTGTATATATGAGGTCAAAAAGTTTGGTCAAACTTTAGTTAATTATTTTTTAAGACTTTATTTTAGGGATTTTCTTATTTCTAATCCTCAAATATATATATATATATATGTATATATATATTATGATCTTACCGCTCTTGTGTCGGTGGCGACGGCAGTAGTGACAAACATTAGAACAAAGGTGACAATGAACTCCAAAGCAAAAGCTTGGCCATAAGCCACTGAAGGAACTGTGACACCTCCTGATCCGGTTACGGGATGGAAAACGCCCTTCAATGCGAATGAAGCGCAGAGAGATGCCGACACCTGTGCTCCGATGTATACTGGCACCTGTGAAAAATTGTGAAAATACTGTCAGTCCAAGGAAAGAGCTATAATATGTTACAAGTGCATGCAACAGCTAGGGCCAACTATATGTATAATATTACGTGTTTCCATGGGAAGTGCTTTAGGGCAGCGAAGGCGATGGTGACTGCAGGGTTAAGATGGGCTCCGGATATGTGGCCGGTCGAGAAGATGATTATCATGACGACAAGGCCAGTGGCGACGGCGACGACGGTGAGGGGGGTGGGCTCTCTTGTGTTTGGGTTCATAATGGCTATGGCTGCCGCCAAAAATATGAGAAGTAGAGGGCCTATGAATTCAGCTCCCACCTGATCATATTTGCCACATGAAACAATCAGCATCATATCATGAAAAGAAGCCGGTTAGTACTATAGTACTCTTCTATTTGAAACGTGGTCAGCTACATGGGATAAAATTAAAGCATGCGTATATGGGTCAGTCTGATTTTGACCTAATTTGTTGATTGTCACATTAATTAGTGTACATCTAATAAATATTCCCTTTTAGTCTATAAATAGGCCAATATTTTGTGGCAGGAATTAGTAGAGGTGGATTTTTTGAACGTCATATTAATATATACACTAATTGAATTAAAAAAAAAATTGTGTCCGCATAAAAAATATGTCTAATTAAAATAAAAAACCGACATCTCCGAAATCCTCATTTATTCATATGTCTTGTCACAAAACTCCTCATATCATTAATACACAGGAAGTTAGCAGTTTGGAAAATGAATTAATATATTATATGGAATCCATGCATGCAATATATTCATATTACATATATACATGTAGCATAATATGTATGTGTGTGTGTATATATATATATCTCCAATAATACACATACCTTTCTTGCAAGTGAAACTGCAAGAGGAGATGGGCGTGAAGAGCGAGAGTCAGCTTTGTGGAATGCTCCTTCTTCCTGCATGGCCAATTCAAGGCCAAAGCAGTTGATGCTCTGGAGAAGCTGTGCCGATTTCTTGCTGCCGTTCGCACTAGTACTCCGCTCTTGCCTGAACCCAACACCACCACCTACACTAGGTATTGCAGGAGTAGTTCCACTTCTAGTTGCATAATTTGTAACTTTCTCATTGTTATCCATTATTAAACTCCTCTCTTCCTTTTTTTTTTTTTTAAAAAAAAAAACCAAAAAAAAAGTGAATAATAATAAATAAATAAAAACGAGCAAAAGAAACTAGCTAGCAAGCTACTCATCAGTGGTTATTTATTTTGAAGAGTGTAGTTTGAGATCTCTGGTATTTATAGTGCTAATTAGAATGTAGGGTTGACATACAGATGATGAGTGCATATAAGTCCTACAAGAAGTTGAGATAAAAGTATAGGAGATAGTGGTTGCAACAATATATGCCACGGAGAGATGGGAATAGAAGGTGGGATCTGTATAGTAATAGTAGTACTATTGGTTGTAGTGGAGAGTGGGGCATTTAAGTTGACAAATATTTTGCATTTAGACATTTGTTTTACCCAATTACACTGTTTGGACATGTCACATGAGAAAAAGGAAGGAAATACACACACACATGTCATGCCTTTTCATCGTGGCTTTGCCTTTTGAATTAAAAAATTTCAAAGAATAGTGAGTTACCTTCCAATAAGGAGGGAACTTTATTTTAAATTAATTATGCATGAAAAAAAAAAAAAAAAAAAAAAAGAGTCATTGGCATAGAGAATGGAAGAATCATCCAGAAACAATAGTATGATTTTCCTAGCTAGCTACATATGTATATAAGAATGTCCTCATTTTTAATTTGTTTGTCAACTTAAAGTCATGACCAAGTAAAGCAATTTTCAACACGGCTTTTCCAGCCATTTGCCACTTGGTGATATATATTAGAAAAAGAAAAAGAGAGAGAAATTAAGAAGAAAAAAAAAAATCTTTTGAAGTTGATCGAGCGATGACTTCGGTCCAATTATTGAGTTAAGGCCACTGCCACTTGAAATTGAAGATCGTGTACTGTGTCAGTGTGACGTATAAGAAGCAATAAACCTGGAGGTGAAACGCTACGAGGTTCTTTTCAGTTCTGAAACAAAATCATAACTATAAATTTATGGTCTTTATTCTATATGTGAATTGCGTGGTCGGTAAAAATTTCTATAACTCTCACATGAAATTAGAGCCATAACTCATATTATCTCTAGTAAGTGGGTTGTCTGTTCGGGGTGTTCTTTTTTTTTTTTTTTTTGGAAGGTTTTTATATTTATTGTGTACCTTGTTTCTTCATCAGACCAATCATAATTAGAACTTTTACTATAATGAAACCAAAGATAGTCAAAAGGTGTCTTACAATAGTAATACATCTAATGAATACGCTTGACAAAAGTTTGACACCATTTGGAAATTGATCAACTTTGAACTGACATTTCAGTCTCGCTATATATTAAACAGTTTGAACTTGATTAGCAACATTTTCAAATTGTCCTAAAATCATATCAGTAAACGCACGTTTTTGTGTTACCTAACGAAGCTTTTCTTGTGTCCCCGCAGTAGTTACCATTAAACGTCAATGTCGTTACCTTATACTGCTTTAGCTCGTTTCACGAGTTTTAGGTTTGGAAATTTAGGCGTGTTTAGGTTTGTGTAGTTTTCGATTTATCAACGATTGGAGAAAGGTCTTTTATGATACGTGTATATATAGAAAGAAGTTTCGATGATCAGTTGAGGTTTGAAATATTCAAAGTGTTTAGTTAGTGGATTATTAGTTCTTCAACCGTAGACGATGTAGGAAAATTCGCCGAACCACGTAAATCTTGTGTTCTATTATTTTTTTTTCCCTTTGATTTTTCGTTTATGTTTGCTATTATGCATTCTACAACAGCGCAAGTACTCGGTGCATGCTAATATATTGCTGAGCTAACACACACACACACATGTATGTTAAATCATCAGTACAGTAGAAGTTAATTATAGCACAATAAGCAATTAGTTGTTTGCTATATAATACTATATTGCAATTCATGAAAAGAGAGCTTTCCTCAAAAGAAAAAAAAATAAATAAATAAATATATATATATATATATATATGAAAAGAAGCTCTGATGATCAGCAGATAAATTAAATAAGATATTCTTTCAATGGAAATACTGTAAGATATTTTATGAGCTATCCATACAGGTTAAATATAACTAGGAATACAACGAAATAACAGTAATTAGAAGAAAAAAGAATAAGTAAAAAATCTGAAAAATGACCTCACCGTTTCCCTAACTACATATCAACAACGCTAATCGGCCATTAGTTCTTTCTAGAAGCTAATTTATTCTAGAGATCATGCGTACCTTGTTCCAGAGAGTTTGAAAAAATGCAGAGACAGAAAGTAACTCCAAATATCTAATATTGGTTTGATTTTAATCCAAAAGTACAATTTCTAAGCGTGGTGACCGGTTAATATTATTGGTAGCTAGATAGATATATATATATATATAGGCATATATATGCTCAAGAATACAAAAACATTCTTTAGAACTGCATGAATATTATAGTAGCATATTTGCAAGTTTGCTTCCACAGCTTTATCTATGATAAAGTATTTTTTAGTCGGGTTACTATTTCAACGTATTTTTATTTATTCCGTACTTTTTTCGATAATATCTGTTGGATTCTTAGAACACAGATCTTGGCCTCATTTCCCTTGTATCTTAACAAACACTCTTTTCTTTTGACAGTGTCCTTAGAGATATTCTGTACGCACGTTATTTTCATCATACAACTTGTGATAAGGATTTCGGAATACCAAATTAGTAAGAGAAAGTATTTGTCATCTTGTTAACAACCGTACGTTATTTTACAACGCCATAAGAAAATAGAGGGAAAAAAAAGGAAAAGTGGTTAACAGGGACATTAGAATTTGGCCCACGAACTTAAGCCAATGGATATATAACATATGTGTAGCCGTTGAAAACCAATAATTTTTATACTGGCTTGCGTGAGAGTGAAATATTCTCTGGGATCATCTATATGCATCATAGAGCAATTGCCGACTTAGAACTGAAAACCTTGCAATATCGATGGATGATAGAGGAACATGTCACATATGTTTTCTTTGTTACCAACCCTTCATTTTGTACGTCTTTACAACAGCCATTGATCATAAGAACTGAAGGACGGACGGCTGGCAATTCATGTTAACGGGACATATGCATTATTGTCGATCTGTTTATTAATCGTACCAAAAAACATCAACTTAAACAGAATCTATTTGTTAAACATATTAAAAATGTCATGATACCTTGAAATGTTATTATATGGTATGTACCTTGATGTCTTTTTTGGAATGAAATGTCATTTTTACCATTCTAATTAATTTATGTAAATTAGTAAATTTAAAAAAAAAATTTAAAAGCACATAAATTTTAAGCAACACCTAGATAAGAAAACCTAAACAACTAAAACTCCAAAAAGAAGGCAATTTTTATGGTAGGGGAAGTTTTTTTACCCTACATGTAGGTACAACTATTTTAACCGTTGGTTTACTTTTTTATCAATAAGATCTACAAGTATGCATGTTAAGAGTTTGAGGCGCGCGATGTAACATCTTCAATTGCATATCTGACCGTTGAAAAGTTAATCAATCGGTTAAAACAGCAGTACCTACCGGTAAGGTGAAAAAGCCTTCCTTACCATAAATATTACCCAAAAAAAAAAAAGAAGATTGAAACAACTCAGAGCAGCCTCTTTGCAAACCCAACCACCCATCCCATTAGGGTCACGCCCTTTTCCACCGTCCAATCCTAGAGCCGCCCACCAACTGCCAACTTGTGCTCAGCCCTTTTGTACCCGAACCCACTGCCCCGGCCAGCCAACCCCCCTCGAACTCATATATGCCCAGCTCCCTATCCCGAGCCGCTACAGTACTCATCCCTTTATAGTATCCAAACTAGTTTTGTGCCCGCATGTTGCTGCGGGAAAAATTTTATGTATTGGAAGTCTGAAGTTTCTTTTGGTGCAACATTAGTTTATATATATGTGTATATTTATGTACAATGTTGAGAGAAAAGTACATATTTTTTTGTAGAATGTTACATGTTAAGAGAAAAGTACAATATTAGTGTATATATACATACACATATATAGATATATGTATATTATATGCCTACCAAACAGGATATTACATTGTGTGTTTTCCTTTTTTTTTGTGCTTCTTCAGAGCTGCAAAATAAATTTTCTTTTTTAAAAAAATTAGTGCTGATTTTTTAGAAGATTTAAATAATTTTAGTCATATAAAGTATTAATTCAAGTATTTAGAGATAGTGATATTACATGGTTCTTGTTCTTTTTCTAGATTGCTTAGGTTGTCTTGATTCGGAGCTAAAATCATTATTGATTGAATCATGTATAAATATATGTAATCTTTTTAGAGTTGTTGCCTTTAAAAAGATAACGTATAATTGACCGTGAGTAAAAATTTCATCTTCTAAATATAGTCCTACTTTGTCTAAAGATTGTCCTTGGCTTTTATTTATTGACATTGTATAGCAAATTTTTATAAAAAAAATTGTCATCTTTTTAATGTAAATGACCATTTAAATTCATGTACAGTCATTTCTATTCTTGAGATATATACTTTTTCAGTGATATCATTTGAACTTGTTATTTGTCCTATAATCTTATTTGTTAGTTGTGTAATAATTGTTAGTTGTGTAATAATGAGTCGTGTTCCATTGCATCTAACAGATTGATTTAGATTTCGCAATAGCATGATTGAAATTCTAATTTTAAGATTTAATTCATGTGGTGGTACAATAAATAAATTGTTAGATTTGCCATATCAAAGATGATGGCGTACAAAACAAATCAAGAAAATAAAAATAAGGTATCAGGATCACCCCTTTTGAGCGGGTGAGTTCTCCAGAAACAAGAAATTGGGAAGGATATTTCAGAGAGAGGAGAGGAAAGGAAGGTAGAAAATCTATTTCATTTCATTCATAATCCCCATAACAACAAACAGCACCCCTTTCTAGCTAGCCTCTGGCTGCCTCGGGCGAAAACAGTAATTGGTTACATAATGCGATAACAAATCCAACTCAGCAAAGCAAGAAAATAAAAATAGC